GGGCCTCCCTGGCCAGGAGAGCTCTGACAACAGCGGTTGTGCTGGCAGCAGCCTTGGATGGCCAGAGTATGATGAGACACAGCAGGGAGACGAAGGAGCCCTGTGGCCATGGCATCCAGAGCCCAGGCCCTGAACAGGCTCCTGGGGAGTGCTTCTGGGGCTTTTGTGTATGGAGAGAGGGCAAGGCAAGGGATGTGGAGAGCAGGGCATGGAGTCGGGCTGGCTGGGACACAAAGAGACAGGGGCAGTTAGGGCAAGGCTGTGGCTCTGGCCCCTCCAAATCCAGGGCACCTCTGGGAACCAGGAGATGCTTGATAGGGACATCTTCTCCTTGCTCATGACACATTCTTTCTGTCCATATGTTACAGGCGCAGCTCTCTCGCACACAAAGATGTCTTGCTACGACCTGTGCCCACCAAAGACCAGCGTGGCCGTCCCTCAGCCCATCGCTGAGAGCTGCAACGACCTGTGCACCTGCCAGTGCCCCGACTCCACAGCCTTCATCCAGCCACCCCCCGTCGTGGTCACCTTCCCCGGCCCCATCCTCAGCTCCTTCCCCCAGCAAGCCGTGGTGGGCTCCTCTGGAGCACCGGCCTTTGGGGGCAACCTGGGTCTGGGGGGCCTCTATGGTGCCGGTGCCACCCAGGGCTCAGGGGGCCTCTGCACCTTTGGCAGAGCCTACGCTGCTCCTGCCTGCAGCCCTTGTGTCTTGCCCCGCTACAGCAAGAAGCTCTGGGACACCTGTGGGTCCTGCTAGACCCAGCCCCACACACCCCACAGCTCATAGGACAACTCAGCCTCACATTTTCTTTTCTTTATCCCCACTGGCACCTCTATGCATGACACCTCTCCACCGTGCTCTGGCCTGTGGCCAGAGGTTGAACCCACCATCATCCCACAGAGCACTTTCTTGTCTCTGCAAGGACCAGTGCCTGGCAGAAGCCTGAAGGAACACCTCTCCTGAAGCCTGGTGGGTCAACCTGCCTGCCTCTTGCCTATTGTGTCTTTCTCCACTCAATAAAACAAGCCTGCATCCAACCCCTGCCTCTGCCTTTTCTCTCTCAAGACCCAGCGGGGGCTGCAGGGCTCCCTCGCTCTGCCTGTGGTATTTGTGAGCTGTGCCAGGCCAGTATCTCACCCCCAGCAGAAGCAGGCTCAGCTGCCTTTGGGGACAGCCTCCAGCCCTGCCAGCGCTGCCCACAGATGCTCCTTCAGCTGAGCTCCAAGGGTCCTGCCTGACCACAGTCTGCTCCGCTCCTGGAGGACTTTCAGCCGTGAGGTGTTTCCAGATCTGCAGCCTCTCTGTGCATGAGCACAGCTGCTCCAGGGGCTGGGAGCCAGCCAGGAGAAATTCCTGCCACTGCTCCAGTAATATTTTGTCTCTAGAGCTTTGCTTGAAGCCCTGTGAGAAAATAACCTTCCCCTTTTTCTTCCCTACCCCCTTTACCTTACCTTTCCTATCCTTCCTCTCCTTTTAACTCCTTCTTCTTCTCTTGTTCTCCTTCCCTTCATTTTCCTCCCAAACCTCATTCAACTAACTTCTCTTCTACTTTCCCTTCGTCTTCTTTCTTTTTATTCGCTTCGTTTTCCTACATCCTCTCATCTTTCTCATCTCCCCCTTTGCCTTATGTTCCTGTTTTCCTCTCACTTTCCCTTAACTCACCCCTTCCCTCTTCTTTCAGTTTTTCCTTTCCTCTTCTATTTCCACATTCCCTTCTCCCTTCCAGCATTGACTAAAGTACACAGTGCTCCTCAGTTTTGTGCCATTCACACAAAATGACTGAAACCCCAGCCTGATTATTCTGC